GATATTGGCGCCACACAGGGATGAGAATCCCCTTAGAATGGCCGGCCATATAGGATAGAGGAAAAGAGGAGATTTGGTTTAAAATTCAAATAAGAGATAATTAACAAGCTTTATCTTAGAGATAGAGATTGGATTCCTTCTAGAAGTTTGACTTCTACTCTATAAATATTATTTTTGAGACAATTTTCAGATTGGTTTTTTGTCCTAATTTTAGAGGTAGCCGAAATTTCTCTATAGAAATTTTGGAAACAATTTTTCAGCCCTAAGAGTTAAGGCTGGCCGGAATTCTCAAGAGAGAAAGGAAGGAAAAATTTTTTTCTCCAAAAATTCCACATCGTGCATGCGTTGGTGTTTGTGAAAATTCGAGTGTTTATTGTAACCCGTTTTGTCTCATGTGTGCCCACACACAGGTCATCGTGGATTCTAGGAATTGACGTGGAAGACATTGGTTTTCTAAATACAAAGATTGGAGCAAGGACTGTTCGTGGTCAAAGAATTCAAGTTATCATCCGAGTCGGCTTCCAGGTATTTTTCCTGATTGAGTTCTTGATATATATAAGTTAATGGGATTAATTTATTCGTGCATAAATTAATATAATCTATAGAGTATCTCAAAAGTTTTATGAAAATTTTTGTTATACACGATCCGTCTCTTTCCCGCACCACCACGCTTCCGCAGCCGGATTCAATTCGGCGACCAACAAAAAGTCCGTAGGTCAAACAAATTAACGAGAAAGTTAGTTATAGTAAAAAAAATGATAACGCCTGTTGCGTAATTACCTTTTCATGTGACTGCATGAGAGAAGCTAACAGAGTAATTATTTGCTAAATTATTATTTACGTAATACGTGTTATTTATGTTAAAAATCTTAATTGTTTTATTAATTTTTATACTTTACATGACATTTTCCATCAAGAATTAACAAATAGGCAAAATTTGCAAGAAGTATTGAAATTTAAGAGAAAAAAAATTAAAACTAAAGTTCACGATATATTTTGTGACAAGCTCTGTTGTTTGGGGTATGAGCAACCACGTAATTTGCTATTTTTTTGAAGCATTTGTTTGCATGAAATTGATTTTAATATTCCCGGTAAGATAATCACTTAATTCTAACAATTTATCTTGCAATTATAACCTTTTAAAGAAAAATAGAAAAAGAATAATCTACAAAGCAATTATGAACCCTTTAAAAGAGTTAAAAAAGTGCTACAAAATTGTGTCTATTATTAGATTTTGAATCCCTGTATTATAACTCTTAACAGATTTATCAATCATTTTAATTTGTTATTATAAACTTTTTGTATTTAGTTCTCTATAAATTCATATTTGTTGATTAATGGCTCGAATTTTGTTTGCCAAGTACTATAAACTATAGCCCACGTAACGTCTTTAAATTTATGGCCGCGTTTATAATTGATATTAAAATAATTTTATTTTTTATAAAAAATAAAAATGAGATTATTTTTAAAATTATTTTAGAATTGATTTTAAAATTTCGTTTTGTTATTTTTTAAGAGATTATTTTGAATATAATAAAAAAATAAAATCATGTCTATTAATTAATATATTATAATATTATTGATATAAAAAAATAAAAATAATTTTTAACTGTTTTATAATTCATTCACAAAAATTATTCTCAATGTTTTTATTTTTATTTTTATTTTTAAAATATTTATTTAACAATTAATGTTTTATTTTTATTTTTATTTTTTACTTTGTGAAAACCGGTTTAAAAAACGAAAAATACCAAAACCAAAATATTCCTTTTTCTTAAAAAAAAAAAACGAAAAATATCCCCCTTCACCTCCAGAGCAGTCCTTATTCATCGAAGCCATTAAATTGCAGAAAATTTTCTAAAATAAGTTGTTCGAACTTCGAATTACCTCAATCGTCTCTTTAGCCCTTGTTCGCCTTAGAATCATCAAAATCCTTTCTTTTCTCCGTTTTGTACTCTTAATTTGTTCCAATTTTATTTCCCATTATAATTTAACCTTATTTATCTTCGCCATCATTCCCAGATATTTTTCTCTCTCCCTTTTTGCTTCACTTTTGAAGAATAAAATTAGCTGAATCTCATACGAAAATCGTCCTCATTTTTTTTCCGATAAACTCGAAAAAGGATGATCTTTTCAAGGATTGGCCGCTCCTTCTCGCGATCTTCCCGTTCCAGGGTAAGTTTCTGAATCGCTTTTTTTGTTTTTGTTTTTGGGTGATGTTTTGATTTCACTTTGTTCCATGGTGGTAGAATTTGTTGTATGGAGGTCGGAGACCGGCAACTCTGAATGAGAACGAAGGCTTTTTGCGAGTGCCAGGCGCTGATTCGTATCTGGGCGGTCGTGGCCATGGAGCCCTAGGGTTTCTGCGGGGTTATGTTGCTTCAATTGGAGCTTCGAAGTCTTCTGCTTCTCATTTTCATTACATTCTCGCTAACCCTCAATTTCGTAGGCTTTTCTCCAGTGAAGCCCCAAAGAAAAAGAGTAAGCTTTTGTTGTTTCTGCACCTAATGATATATCTATATATATATATATATACACATACATACATACATACATACATACATACATATATATATATATGTATGTATATATTATATGCTGCTTTCAGTGAGTGATTAATGAAATGTGCAATTGGCAGATTATGAGAACTTCTATCCCAAGGAAAAGAAGGAGATCCCAAAGGGGGACGAGCAGAAATCAGAGTCCAACTCCAAAGGTACTAGTCTTTTTGTTTTTTCAGTGGATACCCTTTTCGCCTTTGGATTAGAAATTTGGTTATGAGAATTGAAACACTTCTGACTCTGCTTAATTGAAATAAATGTAGAGCTATGGGATGAAAGTTGAGTGCTTTACTTATTTCAACATTATCTGAGCTAGAGTGCTCCTTAGTCCTTGGCATTTCCATTTTTCAGTATCGATTATTTTGAGGTGTACCTGATTTGTTTAGGTTGCTCTTTTTAGGATTACCCAGTTCATCTCGTGGGGCAGAATTAATCTGTTAGTGACCTTATAGTGACATTGTTTAATACTTTCAGATAGTGTTTGTTGAGAGTGGAGGGAATTTTCATTTAAAGGGGTTACTGCGTAAGAACTGTGCACGGGCTTATTTATTTATTTGTGTGTTGTGGATTGTGGATTGGTATCTGTCTCCTTCTTACACAGAAGTCTCTGCATACATGTAATGCATAATTACGTCAAAGAAAAGACCTTTGGTTTGGGTGGATATCAATGTTCGAGGGTTTCTATGGGATTTGAGTTGTTTGAGAGGCGAATCGTTGGGTGACGTTTCTTTTAGTGCTGGCCCCATGTAGGACTTAGCATTTAATTGTCTCTTCGATTATTTATGTTATCTAACCAAAGAAATGAAATTTTAAGAAATACCAAATATTGTTTTATGTTTCTTTTGTGCAAGCTTTGTTTTTGTATTAGTGCGCTAATTATAATGGGGAGAAGTTACCATTAAAGAAAATTTGTGTTTCAAGGGAATCTTTTTGCTGCATGAACATGTCTTTTCAACTCTCAATCTGATGCTTTCTCTTCCAGAATGAGCTAGTGGATTGCTAAGTGCATATCTTTTATGCAATCTGATCACTTGAATTTTATTCTTTTCAGATGACTCAAACACTGATGATCGTGGAAGTTTTCAGGAGGCTTTTATGAAGCAGTTCCAAAATTTGCTGACCCCTTTGTTAGTGATTGGACTATTCTTTTCCTCCTTTTCTTTTGGTCCTCGTGAACAGCAACAGGTATGGGCACTTTTTTGTTGCATTACTTTTGTGGAAGTTTGAATGATGTTATGGCATAATTCTTGTTTTTCGAGGTAAAGTGGAAACTGCAGTTATAATTTGTTTTGTTGGAATATTGACATTTACTGCACGTGTGCTTTCAAAATTTGTCCTTTGCAGATTAGTTTTCAAGAGTTCAAGAACAAGCTTCTGGAACCAGGTTTAGTGGACCGTATAGTTGTTTCCAATAAATCAGTTGCAAAAGTTTATGTAAGGGATTCCCCACGTGATCAAGCAAGTGATGTTGTTGTCCAAGGAACCATTAATGGTAGCCCTGTTCTTGGAAATCATGGACGATACAAATACTATTTCAATATTGGAAGTGTTGAATCCTTTGAGGAGAAGTTGGAGGAAGCCCAGGAAGCATTGGGGATAGACCCTCATGATTATGTTCCTGTTACATATGTTTCTGAAATGGTATGGTACCAAGAATTGATGAGATTAGCACCGACACTATTGCTTTTGGGGTCCACCGTTTACTTCGTACGAAGAATGCAAGGTGGACTAGGTGTTGGTGGTGGCGGTGGGAAGGGTGCTCGTGGAATATTCAACATAGGAAAAGCTCATGTCACAAAATTTGACAAAAATGCAAAAAATAAGGTCAGCCTTGTGTTTCTCCATCCATAATAGATGCAACAGGGTGTTTCATTGTCTTGTCTATCTTCATCTATGTTTTCTCCCCTTTTTTGTCTACAATCGAAATGCTGCTTTTCGGATTCCATTGCATCAAGTATTTCTGTAACTTTTAATATTCTACTTTTTCCAGGTCTATTTCAAAGATGTAGCTGGTTGTGACGAGGCAAAGCAAGAGATCATGGAGTTTGTGCACTTCCTCAAGAACCCAAAGAAATATGAGGAATTGGGAGCAAAAATTCCTAAAGGAGCTCTGTTGGTAGGCCCTCCTGGAACAGGAAAGACCCTTCTAGCAAAAGCTACTGCAGGAGAATCTGGTGTGCCATTTCTTTCCATATCTGGTTCGGATTTCATGGAGATGTTTGTTGGTGTTGGACCATCCAGGGTTAGGAACTTATTTCAGGAAGCAAGGCAGTGTGCTCCAAGTATAGTATTTATTGATGAGATTGATGCAATTGGCAGAGCAAGGGGACGGGGAGGCTTCTCTGGTGCCAATGATGAGCGTGAAAGTACGTTAAATCAGTTGTTGGTAGAAATGGATGGCTTTGGAACAACCTCTGGAGTGGTTGTGCTTGCTGGTACCAATAGACCCGATATCCTGGACAAAGCTCTTTTGAGACCTGGTCGATTTGATCGCCAAATTACAATTGACAAACCTGATATTAAAGGTCGCGATCAGATTTTCCAAATCTACCTGAAAAAGATAAAACTTGATCACAAGCCATCATATTACTCCCAAAGGCTCGCAGCTCTCACACCTGGATTTGCTGGAGCAGACATTGCAAATGTTTGTAATGAAGCTGCTCTGATTGCTGCGAGGAATGAGAGTGCTCAAGTCACGATGCAGCATTTCGAGGCAGCAATTGATAGGATTATTGGTGGTTTGGAGAAGAAGAACAAGGTACTTATTCTAATACCTTTTTGCGTGGCATGATGCGTAGGGTTTCCTTACATATATCAACTGTTGTTGCATTGGAAAGCTCTATGTGGGTACAACATCGTTTTTTTTGTTTTTTTTTTGTTTTTTAAATTTAATGATATTACTTTTTCAACTTTTAATTTTCATCAACTTGATTTTCTAGTTGAGTGGTTGATAGGAGGGGTGGATTTAGAGTACCGCATATCATTGAGTAACATCTGTGTCCGGTCTTATTTTTGCCCCCTACTTCTTAGAGTCTCTGCTGTGTATTTACTCTAGTTTACAATGTGTAGAGAGTTTGTAACGACTATTATTATATGTGGTGAAAAATTATTCGGGCTTTTGACTTCTTGTCTGGCACTGATTATAGGAGTCCCCAAATGTTGAGAGAGAGGATAAAACTTTCTTTGTAGTGCATTATGTATTATTTGCGAATGGAACTTCTAGCATGGTGGAAGCATCTTGATTTAGTCGAGAGTGTTAAAATTCTACCTTCTTTGTGATAATTATGCTCCCTTTTAACAAGCACGAAAATCTTTAACGTTCCTACTTGGTGAAGCAGGTTATAAGCAAGCTTGAACGCCGGACTGTTGCATACCATGAATCAGGTCATGCTGTTGTTGGTTGGTTCTTAGAACATTCGGAGCCCTTGCTGAAAGTGACAATTGTTCCTCGAGGCACGGCTGCACTTGGGTTTGCTCAGTACGTTCCTAATGAGAACCTTCTTATGACCAAGGAGCAACTTTTTGACATGACATGCATGACCCTTGGTGGTAGGGCTGCTGAACAGGTATGTATAGTGAAACTTCCTTGTTTACTTTATCTTGTGTGACAGAGGGTTATAGTTTAAAAAAATATAAAATGCTTATATATAAATTAGATAAACGGCAAAACTTTTATGTATCTCGAGTGATAAAGGGAAAATTTTTGGAAAATAGGTTATATTGGGGAAAATTTCTACCGGAGCACAGAACGACTTGGAGAAGGTGACCAAGATGACCTATGCTCAAGTAGCAGTGTATGGCTTTAGTGACAAAGTGGGTCTCTTGTCTTTCCCTCAAAGGGAAGACACCTTTGAGATGATCAAGCCCTACAGTAGCAAAACTGCTGCTATTATCGACAACGAAGTCCGTGAATGGGTGGGGAAAGCATACGAACGCACGGTCCAACTCATAGAGGAACATAAAGAACATGTGGCACAAATTGCAGAATTGTTGCTTGAGAAGGAAGTGCTTCACCAGGACGATCTGCTTAAAGTTTTGGGTGAGCGTCCATTTAAATCCGTTGAAGTAACAAACTATGATAGGTTCAAGCAAGGCTTCCAAGAGGAAGATGAGAAGCCTGTGGAGGTCCCTTTGAATGATGCATCCGAGGAAGAAGATGGGTCTTCACCTCTGGACCCCCAGGTCGTCCCAACTTGATCAATGGGGATATTTCTTTTTCTTTTTGTTTCGATTGTACATGAAATAAGTTTTATCACAGTTTTTTTTTTCCTCGGCCCTTTACTTATTTTTAGTCCAACTGATTTCCATATTTCTTGTCAGGACAAATTTTGTAATATTTTCTTCCAATCTCATAAATATCATCGCAACTTCGAAAAATAACTGAAATTGAAGTTCTGCTCAATGTGACATTTGAACTGAAAGACAGAAAAGTTCATGTTTCAAGGCTAGAGGCACTACTTTTTTTTTTCCTCATGTAAGTATATTTTCATATTTCGTTTGTTTTGTGATATTTGTGTGGTGGTATTTTTTGCTATTAGTTAGCTGGTTGTTAGAAAGACAATTTTAAAGAAATTTGACCTTCATATTAATGCAAGTATTCTAGAACATGTGAACCGCGTGGTTGTGGAATCCACTGCCCATCTATAGTCAAAGCTGTGATGCTGGTCCAGGGTTATATGAGGATCATATAAAATACCAACAATACATCTTTACTCGGATTAATTTATGGTGCCACCTAACACGTTTTAGAATAATTACAACAATAGTATATACACATTACGTTTGTGTCACGCCCCAAACATGAGTTAGTGACTTTGAGACTTGTTTAGAAATTAAACACGGATTAAGAAAGTAATTAAGTTAAAGTCAAAGTCAAAGATAGTACATATATAAGAATTTATAAAAACCGCAATTATAGTCAAATTAATTTCAAAAGTCAGCTTCTGATATCCACAAGGTTTCCACATTGTACATACATAAACAATACAAAAAAGTACGGTGTTGATATCAACCACAGTTTAATAAAATTATAAAGTTACAATCTATAATTTATACATGCCTTAATACACGTGGCAATGGGGAAGTAAATTACAACTTCACTTCTTGAGATCGGCTCACCTCACCGGTACTTACCACATACTCAGCACTACTTCTAGCGTCGTCTGGAAGGGGTTTACTACATTCAAAACAGAAGAAAAGTGAGTGAAAGACTCAGTAGGATATAATTTATAAAATTGAATAAATAATAGAAGTACAGGGTCCGAACATGTCATCCGGAACCAAACAACCTTTTTCTGAAAGGAAAATAGACTTAAATTTCCGGTTTCAGGCATTAACAAGTAATTTATAAGTTAGGATAAATTACTTACAACCATTGCAAGGCCAAACACCACCGTAGTGGCCCATACGGGTTTCGGGTCCTGCCCCCAAGGATACGATCTCCATATCCCAATCTCTAGGCCATCAGCGTTGTTACCATTTCTTAAAATATCTCATTTAAAGAAAATATCATATAAAACTCTTCTTTAAATTTCAATGATTTCAAATACGTTTTTATCTTTAAAACGTTTTCATAGGCCAAACACATTTAAAACAGGCTAACAATGATGTAGACAAGAACATCCTACCTCTTGGATATCAATTCCGTCTACGGATAACTTCACGTTGTCCAACCATCTATTTTTTGAAGCTCCACTTCCAATCGTGCTGCTAGCTTCGTCATAAAAAATAATGGTTTAGAGTTTAAACCTCACCTCTAAACAATCTTACTTAATTATGTATAATTGTATCATATTAGTGTGCCTTAACTCAAAATCAAAGTTCATAAACAATTTCTTAATTAAAATCGTGATTCTTTAAGAATCAGAATTCAATCAAGAGAAATGGAATAGAAGCAAGGATTAATGTGGCTAATCCACTTACTTTAAGTTCCCAAATGAAGTTAGGTTGGATCTCCAATGAATTTCAAGGTCAAAACATAATTTTTGGACACTTTTAGATCAAATTTAGTGTGCACCGGTCGACTGGTGCTAGAGGAGTGTAACTACACCGGTCGGGCGATGGAGTGGTGACCGGTTGACCGCCCTAGTTGTCCGGTGGGGAGCAGACTAGCCAAGAACAATGGTTGATCTGCGAGGAACAAGGCCAAAACCTGCAATTTCGAGTTCGATTTCAAGATATTTTCATGAGGATTTAACAAAATCAGGTTTCAATCATCAAATAAGGTTCAAAGAATCAAAACCCCCAAATTCTAACATGATTTCAACCAAAATCCATCAAAAATCAAGTTTAAACTAAAACCTCATCAATCTAAACCAAAATCAAGTTTATACTAAGGAAATCCAAGATTCATGAGTGAGTTTTCAAAGATTTTTACCTTAATCTTTGCTTTGATGTTGAAAAGTTCTTGAAAATCCTTTTTTTAGTTCAGATCCGGTTCAAAACTCCCTTAGAACGAGAGAGTAACATTTTGAAAGGAAGAGAAAAAGAGAGGGAACGAGAGAGAGAGAGGTCATGTGAGAGAGAGAGAGAAAGAGATCAACAAGGGAGAGAGAGAGAGGGATGAGAGGTCAGAGAGAGAGAGAGAGAGAGAGAGAGAGAGAGAGAGAGAGAGAGAGGAAAATAAAGAAATATAAAGAAAAAGGAAAAGATAATATTAAAAGATAGTTAAAAGAAAGGATGGAGGTATGTACTCCACGTACTTTCAGGGTGAAATTATAAATACTGAAAATAATTAAGAGTTTGATTAATTAATAAAATCAAATTAGGCACATTAATAATTCACAATTAGTATAATTAAACCTGTTTAATTTTTTAGGTCATAAAAGATGTGTGAACATGAAAGTTGCATATATATTTAATTGAAAATGTCTAAGAGAACATAGTAAACTTTAACTAATTACACCCTTGACTATTCATAAGGTGATTTTAAGAACTTAGGCGTCGTTTATTTCATCGATTTGAGTTTTGAGTTTAAGTTTCTATAGTTAAAAGCTTTCAGAAAATGTCACATCTAACTTTTTTTACTACAGTTGAAACTATAAGAAAATATAACATCTCAGCTCGAATTGAAAACTCGAATCTGCAAAGCGAACAAGACGCGTAATAGTTGTGGTTGTAAAAATCTAAACTACTGTTTGTTTCACTGGTTTAGCTCAGTTTAACTCAGTTCAAACAGTGAACACAGTTTAAACTCATGTTTGGTAAGCATGCAATTTAAATTATATTTCATGTTTAAACTGAATTAAATTCTCCAACTTAAAATTTAACTCGCCCCTGAAGTTCAATCGTTCAAATCATTTTTAAATAGTAAAAATGTGCAAACTCTCTCTATTTTTCACACCTGCCAAATACAAATTCGAATTTTATTCTGTATTCAGATTAAAATTTTAACTGCACATCCAAACACCAATTCGAACTACAATTTCAACCACATAGTTTGAATTTTTCTGTTCAAACAAAAAAATTTAATCAACAAAATTTAAACTAGCGAACCAAATGGGGACATATGTGAGATCTTAGGTTATTAATCACCAATAGGAAATTTGTGAGAATTTTGGGTTTCAAATATAGAAATGTGATGATGTGACGTGATAGGAATTTAATTCTGTTAATTGTTATAGTATTATTTTAATCAACTATCTAATTTATTACGACTGTCAGATCAAATATCTTAAAGTTAAAATAATAATACCCATCAATTAATAAATAATAAAATAACCATTAAAATTATATTCGTAAGTATAAATGTAAAAGTATTATTATATGAGTGTACAAGAACTGAAATGAATAGGCGTCATGTTACTTAACATGTTCAAGAACTTTTCAATGTGAAAACTGTCTTAACTAACATTTTTTTTATGGGGCTTAACTAACATATATTATTAATATTCATAGTTTGATATTAAGACCATTATGAATTTATATATAGACCATTTGAATTCCATCAAGTTTTGAAATTGTTATCCATTTGAAAAATGCATCAATCTTTTTCCAAAGCAATAAAATGTAACAATCATAAACGTCATTCATGATTGCAAAATATAATAATGGTGTTTTTTTATTTTCTTAATTTCAAGTTAGGAATTTCTTTAATAGAATTAGAAAAAATAAATCATCGGTAATTTTTTACTTTCAACTTTCAATTGTTAGATCTAAATAAAAACTACTTATTTCATATATATATATATATATATATTTTTTTTTAATCTGATATAATTTTAATCAAATTTAATAAATCAGAAAGAAACTCTACTAATGGAGAGATCCTGTCATAAAAACTTCCTTTAAGTTTTCCGTTTAGTATTTTCTTTAAAGTTTTCGTTTAGTATTTTATTTTTCTCCATCGTCTTCTTGAAGGATTAGTATACTTATCGATATTCTAAAGACAATCCGATCTAATTAAAGTGAGACTAGCAATAAAATTGAGCCTTGTTAGTTCATTAAAAAAAAAAAAAAAAAAAACCCCACAAGTATCATGCAACTTGAAATATTTGGATTTTTGTTAAGTCAAGTTTTACCCAATCTCGGTATTCAGATTTTTATCACTTCATGTGTTCTAAACACACCAAATATATCATTTTAATACATGATTAAAATCGTAGGGGATAATAGATGAATTAGTAATTATTAATAATTTTTCCATTCAAAAAAATTATTAATAGTTTTTTAGATATTTTTTATAGTTACTACTCTTTTTATATAATCCTGGTTTCACCGTTTGTCAGAATAACTTTAATCATGCTAGTTATTTAATGTATTTAGTTTTTTTTCTCTCCACTCAAACCATTAACTAAATAGTTAACTATTTTAGAGAATACTCTCCACACTAACTAAATATAGCTAGTATGAAGAGGCTATCTATTTCATTTTTTGTATTATTTTATTCTTCTAATCATAATAAATGCAAATGTTTTTTTTACTCAATAAAGTTATTTATATTTTAAATTGAATAAATATTAAAATGATCTATGTTTAATTAAAATAGAGAATATAGTTAGAGTGACTCATTAAAAAATTACTAGCTAAACTAGCTTTTTAGCCATTTTAACTATAATTTAACTAAAATTTAGAGAGCCTCTCATAAATGAACCAATTACCAAATATACCCTACCTACATCTACAACATGAAGGTCTCGTTACCGATTCAAGTTTAGAATTCGAGTTTTGCTACAGTAAAAAGTTCTCAGAAACAGTCACATTTAACTTTTTTGCTACAGTAAAAAACTCTCACGTAAAGTCACATCTAAACTCGAATTAAAAACTCGAATCAATGAGCTAAACAAGCCGAAGTTCATTTGATTTTTTGTGTTTCTTTTGGCTGAAGACACTGATTTTATGCTTGAAAATCAAGGGAAAAAAAGGATAGAGAAAATGTTACTTGTAGGGCGCGTTTAGAACTCGTTCTAAAATGATTTTGTTTTTTGTATGAAAATAAAAATGAAAGCGTTTTCAATCTCAGATAGAAATCATTTTTGAAAATGTGTTTGGTAGTTTTATCAAGAGATTATTTTCAGTATAAAAAACTCATTAATGTTTCTCTTTCTCTCTTTCTACTCGAGAGGGGAGAAAACGAAAATAAAAAATGACTAAAGTCATTTTTTTATTTTTCTCTCATTTTACACTAAATTAAAATTTTATTTTTATTTTTATTTTTTACTTTTATTGCACCAAATACCATTTTAAAAATGTTTACATTTTTTTTTAAAACTTGAAAAATAAAAATAGGATCAATTTCAAATTCGGATGTAAATTGTCAAGTTTTTGTCGGCAGTTAATTGTTCCTCATGTTTCCCCATTTCCCACACTGTGATCAAACTCATATGGCTTAGTTTGGTATTGATTTTGAACCAGTCAAAAGCACTTTTTTAATAAGTTTTGGGTTTATTTGTGTTTGGTAAAAAGAGTAAAAAGTGTTTGTGAAAGAATTTTTGAATTATGGGATGCTAAAATCAGAAGCAGCCTTTACGCTGCTTCTGATTCTAGATTGTGCGGCAATCTAATTTGCCTTTTAATGAAATTTTTGTTATGACCATATTACCCCTGCTGAATTAGAAAAATCTCAAACCAAATTTTTCCAGATTTTCGAAGAGTCTTTCTTCTTTCTCGAGTTCTCAGGTGTGCTCTCTCTCTCCCTCCATTTCTCCTATCTCTCTCTCTGTTGTCTCGGTCTCCTCTGTGCTCCTCAGGGTTTTAGGAGGCCCATGCGATTGAAGTTTTGGCAGAATCTCTCTCTCATTTCTCTGTCAAACAGGTCTGTGGTGGTTAGGGTTTTATGATCTCGTCGTGCGATTGTGGGATTGCCGGTTGGAGCTCTTCAAATCAAGACTATTGCCTCTGTAAGTACTCGATTGATCTTCGTTTGTCTCGATTGGTTATGTTTTCACGGAAATTTTTTGCTCTGGATTCGTTTCTCTCCATTTCGAAAGAGTTTTCCTGTGAAGTTTATTTGGTGTTTGCTTCGATTCTGGCTTAGTTTGGTAGTCTGTAAGTGCTTGTGGGCTATGTTTTTTCATGTTTAATCTGGGTGTTTTTGAGAAATGGTTTTCGAGAGAGATGGAAGGGAAGCCATGGAAAACAAGTTCTAGAAGGGAAAAACATACTCTTTTTTTTGCTATACATGGAAAAACAGATGCCTGGTATTTATATGATTAGGAATTGTAAATTCATTGGGTAATGCATAAATTTTGCATGAATATTGCATTTGCATCCATGCTTTCATTTCTTCGGAATTCTTTTTTGCAGTTAGTAGAAAACTATCTATTTAGAGAGCGATTCCTTTTTGCTGGTAGAATGCTAAGGTAGTTAGGTATGTTTGATTAAATTTTCATGAACTAAGACCATTGCAGCTCATTTTTATTAATCTACTAGATGTTTCTAAAATTTGGAAATGAACAGTTAATGGAGGTTTTGTATGGTGATTGCCTTTTGAAATGATTGAGAGTAGTCGGAAGAACGCTTCTGTTGGGGATGGGGGCAAAAAAGATGTGCTTTATTTTTTTTTCCCTTGGATTCTAGGCCTCTAGATTGAAATCGATGGAAATTTGCTCTCATGTGTATGTTGGCCATTGTTGAATATATGGACGACATGTATACTTACTAGCTATCTCACACTTATGTGCATATATATATTATTTTATTTTTAGATATATACGTGATATGTGATAGATAACAAAATATCCCATGTACACCCTCCTTTTGTAAGCTTATAAGCCAGTCTTAAAATATAAGAAAAGGCTAATTCTTATCCAAGGCAATCTATTACTTGCTTAGATTTACCATGGCCCAGTAATATTTGGCTGCCTCCTCCAAATGAGAAAGATAAAGATTATAACATCTGCCAGACTTTCAGTTAGCATTTCCCAAATGGAGGGTGCTATACCACAAGGTAAAGCAATATGGGACTCTGAGACTGTAGATCGTTTTTGTGATTTGTGCATCAAAGAGGCGGAAGATGGACACCGTCTCTCAAATGGATTTTCTAATCTTAAGTGCATTCAACGAGTTTAAAGTTAGATGTTCTTCATGTCATTAGATGTTAATCATGTCATTCTCTTACACAAACTGATTTGTTTATGTGCATGTAACTGAAGGCTTATGTCAAACAAGAATAAGGAAATCTTTTAGACCTTGTGGATCCTAGTCTTGGTTCAAACTACTCCAAAAATGAGGCTCTAATAATGCATAACCTGGCGCTCTTATGTACCAACCAGTCTCCCAGTCTTAGAACAACCATGTTTGCTGTGGTCAGTATGCTCGAAGGCAAAATCTCGGTCCAAGCACCAGTAGTCGATTGCAGCAAGGATGACCAGAATGCAACGTTCAAGGAATTTGAGATGCTGGCACTGGACAGCCAAACTGATTTCTCTTTATACTCCAACACAAGTCAACAATTAGGCAGTTCTACAGGTGGGCCGTGGGTGGATTCCTCTGTTTCTCTCCAAAGTAAGGATGATCATCTGAACACCTCCTCATCAAGAAATCTTCTTTAGAATCTTTGGTGATTTGAATTTAAAATGAAAGTTCTAATCGGTTTTGTCTACAATATTCCTCAGTAAAGTTGTTCTATATTATTATGACAACAGTTTATCGTATTTCAATAAACTTGAGAGAAAATTTACTCTGTTGCTCGCCTGTTCTTTTACTCTATTTTGGTGAAAACAAACTTGAGAGAAATTCTCTTCTGCATTGCTCATCTCTTCGAAGTTTTATTGAACGGATTTTTGGTGTTTTGAAGAAAAAATGGAAAATGTTGGGAGACATACTTAATTATTCATTTACGAAGCAAATCAAGTTTTACTATTACTAGAAATGGATGAAGTACGAGATTAAATTAATGAACACGACTTAATTCTTTTCATGCTTCTATCAGTTTTTGAACATGAAATGTACATTTTTGTTCAACAAATTGATTACTCATTAATGCTTTTTTTAGTTGTAATTATATTGTGAATGAAGAAATGAAAAAAAAAAAAAAATTAATTATTATAAATTTATTGTTAAAAAATTCAAAATCATAACATTATGTGTTTTTAAAGTTAAACAAGTATTTTTAAATACTAAAAATAATTATATATATTTAAGTTTCATATCATGTATATTTTGATTATTTTACATACCCATAATAATTCTACCTCAAAATTTACCAAACATTATTATACTAATTTTAAAATCAACACAGCTACTATAATTATAATTTACTAAACACTCAATTATTTTTTAAAATAATTACTTTTTTTAACATAATTAAAAATATATTTTTTAAAATTCACAATACTACCAAATTAAGCTATGAAAGACAAAAGAACGAAAGGGCTGCAAACGAACACCCGTTCATTTTCAATAGAAACCGATTCTTCTAGAAAAAAGTACTTTATTAAATGGACAGGACTTGGTGACGCTTCATTGATAAAATCGTGTCGACATTTAATACGAACACGTAATACTGGTCAAAAAGATGTGGCTCGCCTCCTACTCTTCAGCTTTTTCCTCCAATAAAAACCCGTCTCTCGCTCCTCTCTCTCTCTAAATGAACCGAAACATCGCCCTCTAAACGCTCTTTTTTCCTCTTCCGTTTTCTGCAAAGTTGGTAGTTTTGGATCTGGTACTCGTCGTTTTCAACGTTTTGGCCTTTTTCTTCTCTTCTTTCTAGAAATTTCTCACTTTTTTTCTTGTGTGCGATCACTAATGCCGGTAAAATGTGATGCTTGAAATTTGAAGAAAAGTAGTCTTTTTTAACGCTACTGATATACGAACCATTGTTGTTTGTTTTTGGGAAGAGGGAGATTGGTGTTTGAGTTTAAAAAATGTATGGCTTTTTGACGCTTTCAGTCTTGATCTGTTGATGAAATTATGGTTTTGGGCTTCTCAAGACTTAAATCATGTATTTTTATAGGGTTTCTGATATTTAGATTTTTTTTTTTTTTTGTAGAATTTTGATATTTAGAAATTTTTCTGTTTTTAATCTTGCTGTAAGAACATGCTATTTCTCAGTTTTTCTGTCGCTATATGTGTAAAGTTGTTGTTGTTATTGTTTTTTTTTATTTTTTATTTTTTATTAATGAAAGGTTGTGTGTGTAAAGTTGTCACTTCGTGTTAACCATGTCTCTCCAATTCCATCGTTGCATTATTATTATTATATCAGGATGTTAAAGTCTTATTTCACTTATGCAGGAATTTATGCTGTAGTGCATTTTGATTATTGTGGATTGCATTTGTTTTATGCTTATTTTCTTTTCTTTTTCTATTTTTTTGTAGTTTGAACTCTAAAGCAAAGCAGTACATATCAGAAATGGAAAACAAGGATCAATATCGGCAAGATTCGCAATCCAAATACGAATGTCTTCTATTTGGTAAGCCTTTAGTTGTTCATATATTCTCTCTTTTTCTAATAAAATAATTTGGTTAAAGTTCTATGTATTTTTTTTTTCCTTTTTCTGTCTGGGATTTGGTTCTCCTTGAAAAGGAATATAATCTATTCTATTATGTAAATCCCAGATTTGGATGACACTCTCTATCCTCTGGCCTCTGGTCTTTCAGCACAAGTCACCAGGAATATTCAAGGTGATTATGCTTCACAGTTAGTTATCCTTTTAAAATGACGTTTTAACTGTTAAAATAGCTTGAATTGAAATCTTATTTTTTGTCATTACTGTAGAATATATGCTTCAAAAGCTAGGAATAGAGGAGAGTAAAGTCCCTGAACTTTGTATTTCCTTGTACAAGGACTATGGTACCACCATGGCTGGTCTTAAGGTGAGTCCATTGAACCTTTTCGATTTAGTATTGCCAAGAAAACACAAGCTAGAGAAGGGCCTGTTTTCAGTCCTCCTTCGTAAGGACAGATCCTATACTTAACATGTCGATATAAGGGTTGTGACGATATTTATTATGTATAACAATAGCGTTAGAAAGATGTATAAACAAGTTTGGCTTAGATTATTGTTCTTCTTTCCAGGCTATTGGCTATGACTTTGATTATGATGACTTCCACAGGTATATAAATCCCCAATCACTTTGATTTTCTAATGCCTATATACATATATACATATATGTATATATATTTGTAGGAGTATGCCTATATCTTTCTAAACCTTGCAGTTTCGTCCACGGAAGACTGCCTTACAATCTGCTAAAACCTGACCCTGTTCTGAGGAGTCTTTTGCTTAGCCTGCCTATTCGGAAAGTTGTAAGTTATTTTTCATCTTTTAACATGAACTATGAAATGTATGGTTGCTTAATGGGATGGGATTGTTTAACTAACTACTTTTTTGCTTTCTTCTTAATGTGATGTTTTGGTAATTTTCTGTAGGTTTTTACCAATGGGGATAAGGCTCATGGAGCTAGAGCGCTTAGCAGGCTAGGATTAGAGGATTGCTTTCAGGAAGTTATGAGCTTTGAGACTCTGAACCCCACTACTAATGAAAATATACCTGTAAATACTAATCCAAGCACTAGGATTCTTGACGCTGATGAATATCTGAAGCAACCGAATACGGATCTGGTACTCCCAAAGACTCCAGTTGTTTGCAAACCATTTGAAGATGCATTTCAAAAAGTTTTCGAGATATCGAAAATGAACCCTCAACGAACGGTAAGATCATTAGTCCTCTTACCAGGAAATTGTGTCTGGCAGGTTACTCTATTAAAAATGTGTAGCTGTTGTTTTGGCCATTTGTCTGATTGTTACATTTGCTGTTTTGCTTTGTTATTGGATTTTAATGATTTTTACCATCTTAAACTGATCCGGGCGCCTTTTTTTTTTTTCCCAGTTATTCTTTGATGACAGCATCCGTAATCTACAGACGGGGAAAAGGTTGGGGCTCACCACTGTGTTGGTAAGTTACTGCCATTTACTTTCTGGATCGAGATATCTTGCACTATGAGTTGACATGCTCTTGGGATATTATTCTCATCAATGTCTTATAAAATGGTTTTAGGTGGGCTCTTCTCACCGGATAAGCGGTGTAGATTATGCACTAGAGAGCATCCATAACATCAAGGAGGCATTGCCAGAGCTATGGGAAGCTGAAGAGAAGTCCACAAGTGTTAGATATTCCAGGAAAATCGCAATTGAGACATATGTACAAGCTTAGTTTCTTCTTAATGTGGATAAAAATATCAGGATATCCGAGCAGGCACTTGTATTCCCAGTCTTTAATGCTCGGTACTCCTAATTTGATGACGAATAAAATGTGTTAAACATTATCCCAGTTTTATGTCAGGTGTTCACTACCACCTTTGAAATTCTATCGTTTGACCAAATTCTTGCTTGGAATCTAATACTTTGCATGCTCTTGATTAAAATAATAAATAATGATAATACTTAGCATGCTTTTAATTAAAATAATAATAGTACTTTGCATGCTTTTAATTAAAATAATAATAATACTTTGCATGCTTAATGACCAAGGATTGTATAGGAATATATCAGCTGAGGCATGGCTTCAACTTGTGCCAAGAAAGTACGGCCTTTTCTGAATAGATGATAAATGTGAGCATGTAATTTGAAATTTGTGATGCCGTGTTGAATGCCTGTTGATCATCACCAAAGGTAGGTTTTTGTTAGGATTCTATGTAGTTTTTCTGGAAATTGATACAAATTGGAATGAATTTTAACGAAAATGGAATAAATGTACCAGGAAATGGATATGGTTACTTTATTGATGAAGAAAACGAAAATACAAGATAAGAGGAGAATTCAAGGACCATCAAGCCTCCAGAAATAGTTGAAACCAATGCAGAAATCTCGATCCCTTTCCCTCCCAGAGTTAGGCTATTTATTCTTCTAGCTAGTAACTAACTCCTTACCCTTTCTAACTGAACGTGACCCCCTGACCCTACCCAATCACCCAAAACCGAATATCCCAACTGAATTACTCATCCCAACGCTAATTGTTACCCTAAATTACCAGCCTATCCTTGCTTGTCTTTCTTCCCTCGGACAACCTTGTCCCCCAAGATTGAAATCGGGAAATTGGTCCCTCATTACTGCAACCGGTTCCCAGGTGGCATTCGAAGAGGGCAAACCGTCTCATTGCACCAAGACTTCAGCCACGCGATAACCCCCCTATGATGATGGTGCGCGAATCCAAGATGGTGGCTAGCTGGACGAGGAGCTCGAGGTCGCCGATCAACTGAGCAGGGAAGGGTTGACCCTTGTATTGCTGACCTTTAAAGGGCTTTAGATGGGACACATGGAAGATGGAATGTATCTTGGCAAAAATGGGCAAGTCAAGACAATACACGACCGAACCAATTTTCTCCAAAACTGCGAAGGGTCCATAAAAGCGCGGACTAAGTTTTTCATTAACTTTCCGAGCTAGGGACTTCATAAAATAGGGTCGAAGCCGCAACAAAACTAGATCACCAGTAGAAAATGCAACCTCCCGACGGTGCCTGTCGACGAACGTCTTCATATGTTGCTGCGCTAACCGAAGGTGCTCCTTGAGTGCGTCCAACACCTGATTGCGTTCTTTTAACTGGGCTGCGACCTCGTGGACAGCGGTCGAGTTGTCCTGGAAGCGATAGAGGGTGGGAGGGTCCTTACTATACATAGCTCGAAAAGGGGAACATTTTATAGATGCGTTATAAGAAGTATTAAACCACTACTCAGCCCATGACAAAAAGGACAGCCATAGGCGTGGTTTGTCGGAAGCAAAACAATGAAGGACCGTCTCTAAGCAACGATTAGTGACCTCCGATTGTCCGTCTGTTTGTGGGTGGTAGGCGGTACTGGGCTGGAGCTTAGTCCCTTGTAGCTTGAATAATTCCTGGCAAAACAAGCTCATGAAGATCGAATCGCGGTCACTCACAATCGATCGGGGAAAACCATGTAAACGGACTATCTCACGCACAAACAAGGATGCCACGTGCTTAGCCGAGTATGGATGAGCCAAGGGGCAGAAATGCGCGTATTTGGAGAGTCTGTCCACCACCACCAGAACAATATCCATTCCTTGTGACTTAGGAAGTCCGCCGATGAAATCCATAGTTATGTCCTCCCAAATTTGCTGGGGTATAGGTAACGGTTGCAATAAACCTGCTGGTGATAATGCTTCCGACTTGGCTTGTTGACATTTTTCACAACTAGATACATGGTCCTTGACGGACTGTTTCTGTTGGTAGCCCGAATCGAATCCGGATGCGGAAGCGTGGTGGTGTGGGGAAGAGGCGGATCGTGTATAACAAAAATTTTCATAAAACTTTTGAGATACTCTATAGATTATATTAATTTATGCACGAATAAATTAATCTCATTAACTTATATATATCAAGAACTCAATCAGGAAAAATACCTGGAAGCCGACTCGGATGATAACTTGAGTTCTTTGACCACGAACAGTCCTTGCTCCAATCTTTGTGTTTAGAAAACCAATGTCTTCCACGTCAATTCTTAGAATCCACGAAGACGTGTGTGTGGGCACACATGAGACAAAACGGGTTACAATAAACACTTAAATTTCCACAAACACCATCGCATGCACGATGTGGAATTTTTGGAGAAAAAAATTTTCCTTCCTTTTTTTCTTGAGAATTTCGGCTAGCCTTAACTCTTAGGGCTGAAAAATTGTTTCCAAAATTTCTATAGAGAAATTTCGGCTACCTCTAAAATTAGGGCAAAAAACCATTCTGAAAATTGTCTCAAAAATAGTATTTATAAAGTAGAAGTCAAACTTCTAGAAAGAATCCAATCTCTATCTCCAATTTGAATTTCGAACCAAAATTCTCCTCTATCCCTTATCCCTTGTGGCCGGCCATGCTAGGGATTCCCATCCCTGTGTGTGGCGCCAATACTGGATAGGGAAGGAA